TACAGGTTTTTTGGGGTTTAGGGTTTACGGTTTTGAGTTTTTGGGGTTTAGGGGTTTCGAGTTTTAGGGTTTAGGGTTCAGGGTTGCTCTTGAGGGCAGGGGTCTTAAGCAGTTTGTTTTCGATTAGAGCGCTGAGGGCGTTTAGGGTGTAAGTGCATGGTGCGAGGGGTGTAGACTTCTGCTTTAGGGCTTCAGCTTCTTGGGCCTTATAGCCAGAGAGTGTAAGGTGCTAGCGTGGTGTTGAAGCCCAGAGGCTGGTTAAACCCTAAACCCCTAAACCCTAAACCCTAAACCCTAAACCCTAACGCCTAAACCCTAAACCCTAAACCCTAACGCCTAAACCCTAAACATCCCTCAACCCTAAACCCTATGGTGTTCCGAGCCCCTGCTCGGATCATCATCGACTTGTTGGGGTACAGCCTGGAAGCCCTACCTCCGAGCCGGTCGCACATTTTGTCACATTTTGTCTTGTTAAGACCCTACACACTAATCAAAAGATCATTGGACTTAAAAAACTAGGGCTATTATTAGGGCAACCATACTTATAACCCCAATGAGGGTACTTATAGCCAGACTTACTACGCGCCAAGCAAGCCCTACACCCAAAGCCCGGAAGAAGAGAGGCTGCCACCGACGACGGCATGCTTATTGAGCGACTGGAGGCGCTCTCTGCCAGATTCACCCAGAAGTTTCGGAAAGCCGGGGGTAATACGGAAGCCTAAATAGTTATCAATCTTATTAAAATTTTACTATAAAGGAGCCCTCCTAAACCCTAAACCCTAAACCCTAAACCCTATTCTAATTTATTAAAGCCCCTACAGTACCCCTTTTAGCTGAAAGGCCCGGCTTTCGAGGACCCCCGGTGCCTGGATCGAGGGATGCAGTATGGACGACTTCATCGGTAAGCCACCGAAGGGTTTAGGGTTTAGGGTTTAGGGTTCAGGGTTTAGGGTTTAGGGTTTAGGGTTTAGGGTCGGTAAGCCACCGAAACTGTTGCGTTTAGGGTTGTTTAGGGTTTTGGGTTCAAGGCTTAGTGTTTACGACTTAATGTTTAGGGTTTAGGGTCTGGGGTATGGCACCCTAGTATGAACCCAAGATGCTTATTGACTTATTGCGCTGCTGCTTCTATTGTAACGCAAGGGTTTTTATACAAAACCCGGCCCTCATCAGCTTGGCGGGATATGTTGATGATTAGTCGCTGAGGGTTCAGGGCCTTCTGGTGGTTTTAGGTGAATCAGGCTTCCCTAAACCCTATACACCCCCAGAGTCGCAAGCCGGATCACCAGAAACCCTAAACCCTAAGCCCTGAACCCTAAACTCCGAAACCCCGAAACCCTAAACCCTAGACCCTGGACCCTGACTCCTAAACCCTGAAACCCCAAACCCTGGACCCTAAACCCCGGACCCTAAACCCTAAACCCTGAAACCTAAACCGTTAACCCTTAGCCATGCTTGTTTGGCTGAAAGTCAGGGCTCGTCGGGGCAGCCCCCATCGACACTCAGTGGACCGCCAGAGGTCTACGAAGGACGGAGGATTTAGGATTTTCAGACACCAAAGCTTAGAACGAAACTCTAAACCCTAAACCCTAGACCCTAAACCCTAAACTCTAAACCCTAAACCCTAAACCCTAAACCCTAAACCCTAAACCCTAAACCCTAAACCCTAAACCCTAAACCCCAGCTTAGAACGAAGCCCGACATCTTCTGGCGGAAGCCCAAAGGTCCTCAGTGGGACACCCTGTATCCGGCACCCGAAATCCGAGAACCTAAGACGGGTTCAAGGTTTAGGGAAAAGGGTTCAGGGTTTAGGGTTTAGGGTTCAGGGTTTAGGGGTTAGGGTTCAAGGTTTAGGGTTTAGGGTTCAGTGTTTAGGGTTTTGGGTTCAGGGTTTGGGATTTTCGGTTCAGGGTCTAGGGTTTTGGGTTCAGGGTTTAGGGTTTGAGATGCCATAATTCTCTGTGTGATTGCACACGCACTCTGCCTGGGGCCTGAAAAGCTCGCCGCAAGCAGGCGCATATGGAAATTTTTTAATTAATTTAATTAGAACAGGTTTTGGGGTAAATTCTTGTAGAAGCATGTAAGGACTATAAGGGGGTATTGTTGCTATGATTGTTTCTGCAATTACATTGCGTTGGTTAGCTTTGTTCATTTTTTAGACGTTGATTTCCCGGAGAAACGAAATCCATTTGTCGGCACCGCAAAGCCCAGAAACTCCAACATCCAGAGTTGCAGTCTTGTCGGTTTCTGCCCCGCAGGAAGCGAATTCGTTCCTCTTCACCAGGCCTAACCGGGAATGAATAATTACTAATGGTATTCCTTGGGGTTCCTTATTATAACTATACTATAAAGGAGCCCAAAGCCTGATGCTAATGATTCAGGCCCCGACACTAGCAGGGGTGTGACAGTGTGGGGTGTTGACCGGAAGTTGCGATTGGAAAGGGAGCGCCTTTACTCGCTGTGCTACTTGTTGGGGAGTGCCTTCCATGGCGTTTTGCAGGCGCATTGGTCTTTCGAGGTTGTTCAGCTAGCCGAAAATACATAAACATTCGTCGCCTGCATCCCGAGAAGAAGCAGCAGCGTCAAGTCTTTTGTGTGCACCTTGGCATGCCGACACAAGAACAACCGACACCAGAACAACCAAGCCTGGGAACAGCTCGACAGTCAAGGGGCACCTGGCTTCGCCATCGTCTTTGGAATACGCAGTATATTTTGCAGCACATCACCTTTTGGTCGTTAAATCCTGCAGGAAAGAACA